TATCGCCAATTCAATACTGCCTCGGTCGCGGTCCTTAACGCCTTTATATAAGACCTTTTCCACTGAAACATCCCGAATGTTCGAGCACATACCGATCCCAACCGACTAAGTGTAGATAGTTCTCTCCTAGTGCTCTAGTAGCTCTCTCCTGCTACTCGACACTAGATGGCGCTAATGGCATTTACCGGCATCAACTATAGCGTGCAACAGTGATATTCACTTTAATTGATTCGTAAATATGGTATACTTCGTTTGCCCGTAGGGTAGGCCATATTTGAACTTGATTATACATGTAGCTAACATCTATTTAATACCTTTTATCCACGAAATAAATTATTCAGATTCTGAAGTCCTCAATTATTCGTTTTTTTTTTTTTTATGAACATTACGCGATATTTTCGTCAATTTTAAACCGATTTCAATTATTTCAGGGGTTGTGTCATATAAAATTGGAGAAATAATTCCATCTCCAAGGGTGGGAAAATAGGATTGAAGTTCAAAATGTTAGTAACCGTTGAGACGTCGTTCTAGTTTATAAATTACACTTTCACAATCCTTAGTACACTAAAAACGGTAAAAAAGAAGTAATTTTAATAATTACTTTTACCTACATACCTTATTACTTACCTGTCTTATTAATTAAAATAAAGTGTACAAGCATCGTTTCAAATTAAAATAAAGTAATTCGTATCTTACCAGTATAATGGTAACTTGTGTTATTTTCCTTGTGCTTTTTCTTTGTTTGTATTTATTTATTTTAACATCATTTTAATGAGGTCATGTTCCAATAAGAGTAACATTGTTGCAATGCTTGGTTGAAGGGTTCGCATACATCGGTCACGGTAATTTTATAATATTACCGTGCATCGGTTTAGTCAAAAGTATACTACCTGTACTACGAAAAAGACACATGTGATCAATAATGGACTGCTTACAGGATGATGAGAATGAAGATGATTATTTCCGGTATTAATGGAATGCAATGAAATGACTAAATCCTCTTAAACTAACATGCAATGTCATGTAAGTGGCTCTATTTATTTATTTTTGTTGTATTTTTTTATTCTATGAAAAGGATTACGTGAAAGGAATCATATTACACTACCGAAAAGCACCCTCACGATTAGGGTGGATTTTTTTTACCTATTGCATATATGAAAAAATAAAATATTTTAAGAAATTTATTCTAGCCAAAATTTTGTTATGAACGCAAAGTATTTTCTACACATAGGTATTACAATAACATTTTTGAACTTTATCTAGTAATAATTATTGCGTATTCATCTAAAACTTATACATTTTATCAGAGTAATATCTGATGCTCATAGTTTGTCATGTATCTTTCAAAGCATCTGGTTCACAAGCATCTAAACTAAACCATTGTTAATCATCATAAGTTATCAATGGTGAGTTAATATTTTGTTCTGTGGACTCTCGCGGAATTTCCAAGAAATCCTGTGTTCCAGAAGGGTTGGAAAATATCAGAGACACTTGGCTGCGGAGTAGGCGCTGACAAATCTTCAACGACGTTTTGAGTAGGAGGCACATGTTCTAAGTTACGGGATGTATAAACCCCAGTTGGAGCATAATTTTCGTCACTTAAGGCTAATTCATTAAGAGACCATATTCCGGATTTGTTAAACACGCTTGTGATATTTTTTTTGCCGAGAATGATTCAAAAAATGCATTTTCCACTATTTTGAAATATAGCAAATCGTCTATGCTTTGCCTGGGTTCATTATAAGTATGTCAATTATTGAAAGCAATTTTTAACTTTGATTTGAATGGTCGATAGCCTCCCACGTCAAGTGGTTGTAGGCGGTGAGATATATGTGGTGGAAAACATAGGTAAATTATGCCATTTTCTTTAGCGTAGTTGATGGCTTCGAGAGAAATATGGGTTTCATAATTATCTCACAACAATAATATGGGTTTATCTTTTGTGCAGAGTATGTGATTCTGGATATGTTTTAAAACAGAGACGAATATATCGCTATTTATCCAGCTACTTTTATTTACAGCGCCGAGACTTCCTTCGGGTGCTCTTTTGAGAAAATAATCATTAAAATGAACGCGTGAAATCACGAAATGTGATGATAATGCCACCAAAAGTTACGAGCTCGCCTCTTTCAGCTGATACAATTCGTCCGACTTGTTTTTGATATCTTGGAGCCAATACTTTGGGAGTAGCAAGAACTAGAAGTGTGTTTTCGGGTTTGCGTAAACTGAGTTCCGAGTTTTTTCTGCGAAAACCATACATCCATTCTTTCCCATGACTTAACTCCATAATGCATCTTACAACATTTGATAATATAATAATTTAGCAGTTTTTCTTCTTCCATAGAAAAGACTTACAAGTTGTATAGAGTAAGTGTACGTTGCTTGACCCTTCAGCGTCATTGCTATTCTTGTATTTTTTCTCAGTTTTCTAATGTTGACAATTTCAAATTGTACTTGTCCGCAGCTTTTCTATATGACAATACTCCTTGCATAACATTCTGTATTGCTGACTGCATGGATTCTACCTCCACAGCTTGTCTACTTGTCTTTTTGGTTTATAAGTCCGCACCATGTTTCTGTGAAAAATAATAAGAAATAAGTATTAAAATATATATATACGTACATCGACGATAGCAAAACACAGGACAAAGTTAATGCAAAAATTAGCAATTAGCACACTAACACACTAAATCGTACCTACATACCAGTTAGGGCACATTCGTACGCGTTTAAACGTACCCCATCTAGTTCTGTTCGAAACTACCCCACTAACTAAATAACAATTAAATATAACCTCTTTTAATATTAGTAGGAAAACGTCATAAATTAAGTATTGAAAACGTACCTCAAGAATATTTTGCAACTTACTGATAGAATACTCTACACGAAAACTTATTTTATCTACGGTAATAACAGACAAAAGCATTGATCAAAAAATTACTTACTGAGCGCGAAAACACGTTTAGTTCGTGCCTGTCACTTCACTCTCATCCGTGCGAGTGGTGCGATACGTTGACGTAAAGTTGGTACCTCGCTCAGTATATATGTAATTACTCTAAGGTACCTCGACTCACGCACACATACAAAAGCAAGACCGTATGTTGTTGCGTCTAAGTTTTATTTTTACTGTATGAATGTGGCCCGCGTTCGAAGGGTAACGCTCTTCCTATGATAATATTTTCATCAAATGAAAATGGATAGGTAGTTACGGGTTGCAACAACTACCATGATTTTCACATCAGCCGGATATTCTGATTGCAGACAGCAGTATTTTTTCTTTTTTCTTCGCATTCGCCAATCAACAGATCACAATGAAACTTTGATAAGAGTGTTATGAGCGCACTCGACAAGGTTTTTGACATAAAAGAGACATTGCAACACAAGGCGAGCACAGTAAATAAAATAAAACTGTGTTCTATGATAATACCAGCCAGCATGCTTCAAAGAACGCCTCTATAATATAAAATAAAGATTGCATTTTGAAACAGTAGTAGCAATTTAAACATAGTAATTATTATAGTTTACTAGCTAAAGTTAGGTATGATCTAAATGGAGGCGGGATTAAGTGGTACGAATTTTGCTGTAATAATACTGTTTAAAGTATATTCTATAAACAGTTTTACTGTCAAACAAAATTGGCTTTTATAAACATCTAAATATATTTTAAATAATAATAGTATAACTCTATTTCAATTAAAATTAACGGGAAGTGATATGATATTCATCTCATGTGCAATTATATGGACGTGTTGTTTGGTCATTATATCGATTTTCGTTTTTGATTTATTCAGATTGCATGTTTTTCTTTTATTTTTAATTAAACCTTATTTTTATAATACACGGTAACTTACAACCACGTTAAAGTCATTGTTGTCTTTATAATCAATTTAATATTCTATAATATTACACTTTAAAAGTGGATTTGAGTCACTCGTATACTATGAAATAAAAAATAATGAATACAAAGAACTTAAGTCTAACCGATTATTAAAACGCGTAAAGTTAGTGCGTTCGCTTCGCTCGTGTGTAACTTCATACGGTTCAATAACCGGCTAATTAAGTCCCTTGTATCGTAATGTACTATTTATTTACTAACAATTAACTAATATCAATAATTTAATTCCATTAGTTTTTAAATAAGTCACTAGCTTTTTTGTATGTGTCCCGTTTCCGCGTGCACATTTTAATTAAAATATATCATGCCTTCTCAAAAAATTATCTCTTCATACCGCTCATTGCTTTGCAGAATTATCTCTTTATCGATAATATGCTTGCGCTCTCGGCTGCTCGTCACAACGCTCTCACCGGTCACTCACCTGCCTTACGTATCCCAGTTCATGTCATGATACTCAGAATATGATACAAGCTTTTATACTACGATGATATCATAGCTCATATTCATTTCGATGTGAAATATAATACGTTTATTACATGGACATAATTACATTCCAGGCGAGCTCTTCTATTCATTCGGTCGTTCATTACATGTTCGTAGTGCGAAATAAAAGAATATTAAGTGAAATATCGAAGGCGGTTCGTGGTATTAATATCAATGTGGATTTTATATGATGTCGCGGTTGTGTCACATCTTTATGGTTCTATTTTTCGATGTCTCAAGTTCGCTTTAATAAAAAGCTCCGACAAAGATCTTCGCCGTTCTCAGAAAGAGAATCTAAAGTTATTTTACTTTGGTATTTATAACAGCAGTTCTTTTTTTATATTACGAAGAATGACCCTAATCGTTGCAATGTAAATAGACATTTCTCAGCAGGCTGGCGGGTGAGACAATTTATTTATCGAACAAGACATTTATTTCGTTAGGCGTACAACAAAAATAAATACGTACCTAATTACGCATGTTAAACACGCGTGGCGATTATAAAACAAAACAGGCGCTCGCCCTTTGTTTACTAAGTGACGCATGAGGCATGAGGCTCAATGCAATCTAAACTGCGGAGTCGTTTACCTTCCAAGCGACGAGACGGTCGCCATGTGCGTAGATGCGTGAGCGCAACGCGGCATGCGGCTTCGGGCAGACAGGCAGAGCCCGCGGCGGCGCGCGGACGATGGCGCGCTGGCTGTGGGCGGTGACGCTCCTGACTGCTGTGCAGGCCTGGCGACCACCACCGAAGCCTCTCCTGCTCTCACCCACTGCACCCGCACGCTTGACAAGACACGGCCACTCAACCATCCACCATCTACATCTGTTCGGGTGGCATCTAGAGCTACAAGAAAATCGCGCTATCCGATCTCCCTACTACAACGAGTGCAAGTTTTACAAGGGACGTGTACTCTACGAGGACGAATCCTCAGTGACTGTTACTGAGTGTGAAGGACAACTTTATGGACTGCTTCAAGTTGCTGGTGAAGATTTTGTGCTGCAGCCAACAAGACCTGACGGCCGCAGTTCTCATGTGCTGCGCCGGCGCGATGTCTTGTTATCGGACTTACCTACAGCTTACAATTTGACTGGTGATACGGTTTCTGACCTCGATATTGACTTCAGTGATGAACCAATATTACCCCACGTGCATCCACGAAATAGTGAGCATTCGGAAAGTATTGACTATTATCGAAACGTGCGTCCAGTAACCCGACCAGTTTCAGGTGTGTGCATTGGTGCTTCTGTTTTGTTATAATCCGTGATTGTGAATAGAATTGCATTGTTTTGTTTTTATTCCAGGCGTTAAGGGATTATGGCTCGAAATGGCTATTGTGGCCGATCATACAATGTTGAAGTTTCACGGTCAAGAGCGAGTAAAGCATTACATCTTAGCTCTAATGAACATTGTAAGTATAGTTGTATGTGTGATGTTTCTCAAGTGCTCGAATTGATAACTCTGACCCCTTTATGTAATAATTTAAAGGTCAGTGCCATATTCAACGACCCTTCGCTTAATTCAAACATAACTCTCGTCATCAACAATTTGTTCATGTACGAAGAAAAGGATCCAATCATAAAATACGGCAACGTAAAGAAATCACTAGAAGCAGCCAACAAATGGAACTACAGACATCTAATGAAGTTACCAGCTGGTAAGTAGTTTTCTTCTAATAGCGTTAATCTTTAAATTGGATATCAATTATAAAAACAAGATAATTCGTAAATATTACTGTGTTAAAATAAATATAAGTTTAATATTTTTAATCAATTCTAACACATCAAATTACGAGATAAGACAATGAATATTTAGTAACAAAGTAAAAATAAATTTTTAATTGGCAATAAAACACTGCTATAAAGTTAACTTTATCGTGGCGCTATTTAGTAGTCTATAAAATATATTTAATATAGAAAAAGTTGAAATAATATAGATATAGTTAAATGATTTAATTATTACATAAGTTTATTTTTAACTCTACCTTTATTAAGTAGAGTACAGAGAAGTAAAGTTCATGTGAAGATAATAAACGTGTCATGTAATTTTTAAAAAATTAATATTTTATGATGTAAAAACGCAGTCTTTCTCCGGTTGAACCAACCCATTCGTGCTTCAGTCAAAAAACAACCTGGTGTGACCCTATCACGTGTGAAAACAACTCCAGGACCTGTATCAAATCTAGTGCATAGTAATAGTTTTTTTTTTTTGGCTCAGCGTTTCGTTTCGGTTTCTATGGCACTGTGGTTCAGCCAGCTTCTGAACTTATCTTTTGAGCATTATATCAAATACATGTTTAGAACGGGACACTATTGCCCATTTTGTTTTTGCATGTGGCGAGACATTCTCTCCAGCGTTATTCTTAACTTTATCAATAAGAAACTGTATTGTATTACGGAGTATTACAAAAACGAAAACGAAATCATACGAAGCTTTAGCTAATAAGAACAATCTGTTTGTTTTCAATAATTTCTTGGAAGTCGCTGGTTGCATGTAGCGCAAGATCGTACTTTGTGGCATTCCTCGGGGAGGCCTATGTTCAGCAGTGGACTTGTGAAGGGCTGTAATGATGATAATGATGAATAATTTGGACTATTTTTGTAGAATTTTGCAACTTTAAAAAATCATTAATTAGATAAAACGCCAGATTAAGCCAATTATTTATTAAGATAACTTCGACGAGGTACTCGTTTTTAGTTTTTAGTTTTTATAATATCAGTTATAAATACATAAATATATATTTAAAAACATTTGCTATATAAATCAATCATTAAAACTTAAAACACTATTTCTATCCTAATCATTTGAATACAAATTGACCCATAGTTCAAATTGTACAAACATACGAATTGACTCACTGTAAACAATTGAATAAAACTAAATTTACGGATTCTATCGCGTTTATTTAACTGATTTTACTTATTTTTAATTCCCGACGTTTCGGGTGCTTTACAGCAACCATGGTCACGGGGGGGACTGAGATGTTTGACGTCCCAATGTCATTGTTAGCCCGGCTACCTTCAGTTTTTGAATATTAATTTTTGGCCCGATTTACGCAAAACGAACTTACAGTATCATGAAGTCTTGCAGTGGTATACTTGGGTTTGGGTTTAATTTTGTTAATTATAGGATCCCAAGCAGATGGCAGCACCCAACCATCTTCTCTATTGAAATTAGGATGTTTTTTAATTTCAATAGCCTCGCGTATCATCCTTGGTAGGAATCGGTGTTCTTTTGCGAGGTTTTGTGGTTTATCAAATCTGATGTAATGATTTGTAAGATTTGATAAACCAGAAATCCTCACAAAAGAACACCGATTCCTTTGCGATTCCGAAATCTGACCAAAAATTAATATTCAAAAACTGAAGGTAGCCGGGCTAACAATGACATTGGGACGTCAAACATCTCAGTCCCCCCCGTGACCATGGTTGCTGTAAAGCACCCGAAACGTCGGGAATTAAAAATAAGTAAAATCAGTTAAATAAACGCGATAGAATCCGTAAATTTAGTTTTATCCAATGTGTAATGTTCGCGTAAATTTAAGAAATCATCACTGTAAACAAATTTAATTTAATCATTGTAAGCGAGTGTGGCTATGATTAAATTGAGTTTTAGTTTTTTTATTTCCTGTAGTTTTTAGACATTCGGTAGCTTTTAACGATCGCGCGGCATTTATTTTAGGTGGTATAAGTAGGAATAAACGGGTAATTCATAAGAAGTGGTATAAGTAGGTAGTATAATAGGAATTTGTTAGAGGTAGGAGTAGGATTTATAATAGGAATTCGTAAAAGGAATAAGTAGGAGGTATAACAGGAACTCACATGAAGTATACGTCGATGGTATAATAGGAATTCACGTGAGGTATAATAAGAATTCGTAAGAGGTATAAGTAGGTGGTATAATATGGGACTTACATGAGGTATAAGTAGCCAATAATAGGAATTCATTTGAAATATAGGTATTTGGTATTATAGGAATTCAGAAAGGTTACTATCTGAAAACCGCAGCTATAAGTTATTATATCCCAGCATTTGATAAAATGCTAATGCCCTAAAATATTAATCTCGTTTGGTACATCTAGCAGGTTTCTGATATTTATTTATTACTGGCAACTTTTCAACATTGTTGAAAGGTATCAATTGCGTAGGAGATATTTAAAGAAATAAGTGCACATGCTAGAGAAAAATACACGCTTACCCATAATACTTGTGCCTGATATAACGCTTAAGCAATAAAATCGGTACTTATATAAAAGAAGTACAGGCAGAATGATATTCAATCACTACCTCCATATCTGAAAACTAACAAATTCGTATTATGTTAAAGTAATGTTTGCACCGCGTGGAATTCAAATCCAAAACCTACTACGCTCTAGTCAGTTTCTCTGACCACTATTCTATGCCAACTGGTTCACATAACACAAAAACAGCAGAGGGTAAGTGAGAAATATTTTCTATTTTCTAAAATAAATTTCACGTAATAACTAAACTCGTGTTTCTCAAGAAAAATTGGATGTAGCTAATCGCAAAAAGTCTTAAACGCAACTCTGGTTGAAAATGAGTGACATACACTCGTACGGTAAAATAATCTTTAGGCTCAATAATTTTATATACTATATTACATTATCTTAATATTATGTCACAAAGTATCAATTTGTGGGTTAAATTATTTTTACTCCGTGATTCGTAATTAGTAGGTTCCTAAAATTAAAATAAAGTTAAAGTCTAATACTTTCCAGTGCTGGGCATATGCCTCCACTCATTTGTGCGAGGGTTAGGTATATAGCAATAAGTCTGCCACGCTGCTCCGGTGGATGATGGCGGACTTTACATGTCATCGAAATATTTTATTTCTTATACTTTCACGATTCCTAACATGTTTTCCTTTACTGCACAACACGTGCACGTGGGTAAATTATTTTTTTAAAGATTATTACCAATGATATAAACATTACTAATATTCCCCTTAACCACGCGTGATAAGCTTAAACACACACAAGCATGTGTTACGAGTGGTTCACGCCAGTAGTCGAATGGCGGATTCGAACCCACAACCTTTTTGAGTTCGCGATCCGCGCTCTGCCATTAGGCTACTGTCGCTTCAAAATTCATTTTTTTTCCAAAATTCATTTGTATTTATTAAATACATACTTAAAATGCATAATTATCATCATTACAGCCTATCACAAGGCCACAGCTAAACATAGGCTTTCCTCAAGGAATGGTACACAGCACAGCCCTGACCCTCCTGCTCTGTCTCAAAATAACAATTTCATTGATGCCGCCGGGCATCGAACTCGGGTTGCACGCGTACAGTGAAGCTTTTGGCTACTCGTGGGAGCCCTGAGCTACCACAGCAACTCTTACAAATATTTAATTATTATTTATTACCTATATTACGACTTAAATAAATGTTTGTTGATATTATTTTCAGCTCTTTAAATCCACGGATAAGATAAGAATATCGCTAAAGAGTACGTAATATTTTATACATGTGTGATTCAATCACAGAAATAGTAATAGTTTTTCTTATTATTACGATATCTGTGGATTCAAAAAAATGTGGCATCGATTAGATTTATTAAAATAATCATCAACGACCATTTACTTTGAATTATTTTCTAATACACAAATAAAATAGTCCAAGTTTTTAGGATAAAACATAGCTTAAGTTAGTCCTATCATTGCTCTATATCTTTTCGTGAAGTTTCTCGTTTTCTTTGTTTAGACATTTGTATGGCACGCAAATAACCAATAAGAGACATTTAAAATAAAACGATCGGACGAACGGTCAAACAAAAAGATCCATAAAAACCCCCGTGAAAGAACGTATAGCTGACGTGAAGCACCGACGCTCCGGGAAGTCTGCAGTTTGTGAACATGTTCAAGATCGTCCCCACCATTACATCAGATTTAATAAACCACAAATCCTCGCAAAAGAACACCGATTCCTACCAAGGATGATACGCGAGGCTATTGAAATTAAAAAACATCCTAATTTCAATAGAGAAGATGGATGGGTGCTGCCATCTGCTTGGGATCCTATAATTAACAAAATTAAATCCAAACCCATGCATACCACTGCAAGACTTTGGGATACTGTAAGCTCGTTTTGCGTAGATCGGAACGAAAAATTAATATTAAAAAATTAAAGGTAGCCGGACTAAATATGACATTAGGACGTCAAACATCTCAGTCCCCTGTGACCATTGGTGATATAAAGCACCCGAAACGTCGGGAATTAAAAATAAGTAAAATACGTAGAATTTAATTTTATTAATTGTATTCGCGATAGGAATTCGTAAATTTAATTTTATTCAATGTGTAGTGTTCGCGTAAATTTAAGAAATCATTAAGAGATATTTATTTCGATACTAGATACAGACACTTCAAATTTTATATGTATGTATAGATTGTTATACTTAATTTTCAATAATATGCTATTTCTTTGAGTTGATAACGTAACATCTGTTACAGCTTAAATTATATAAAAATAAAATTTCTTCGGAATAATTTAAGTTTAGAAATTTTTTGAGATATTTATTTAGGTAACATTTATCATGGTACTTTTATATATTCATGTGGCAAATGGAGTAATCGATTTTCTTAGTACGCTATCAAACCGCAAAATAAAAGAAATAAACTTTTTAGTATATTACGTAAATGGTATCTCGGAAATAACTATTTGCATGGAATTTTGTATTCGGATAATGTCACTTTACACTTCTATCTAGATATGTGTCTACGAAAAATTGAATTTTTTTAAAGCCGAACAAAGTTCACTCTCTAGTATCTTCAATAAAAGCAAAATTTTGACTTGTATCTACTTGAAATTTGTCATAAATTCATACCCCAAACGAAGAAGAGTTTTAAGTAACACTATGTATTTACTATTTACGGGTGTTATTACTCGGGTTTCGTGAGAGGCGACTTTAAGAAAAGCGAGAAAGACCTCACCTCAGACTTCCAGATACTAGATAGATAGATAGGCCGATAGATAGATAGGTAGTATAACCAGGTGGTCCATATTTAGAAGTCTAAACCTAAAAAAATATTAGCCAATAAATTAAACAATTAAAACATATAAACCGGTAACGGAGCTGTGTCAATAATGCAAGAAGTCTGGTACCTACTGCGATTAAGTAAGGAGTACAGACTGTGTATTAAAAAGTGTCCATAGAAAACTGTTAAAAGCCATTATAACTACGGGCTACGGGGTAAATTTTAAAGAACGCACCGAAAAATATTAGTGGTATAGACGACTTCTTTGAGATTATTTTTCCTAAATAAAATCATTTTAGATTTTAGAGCTAGTGAGCTGTTTAGCAGCACACTTAAACCTTCGACAACTGCTAAGTTCATTTCATCACAGGAGCTACTCCAGCGCTGTTGTGGAGAGTTTTTAAACTGTTATTTACTGCTTACAGATGGCCACTTTTTCAACTATTCCACTATGGGAGTTGGTACTCCTTACTTCTACACTCTATACCCTAAACCCTGTGATAAAGCACAGGCATACTAATAATTTATACAATCGTAGACTTTTTCTGAATTAAAAAGGAAAAATAAATAGTATATACTCTAAAAGTCATATGTATTATAGTTAAAATATTATTATATATAAATCCGGGTTTCATGTAACGTTTTCGTATTTTCAATAAAATGTACACTATTATTTAATTCAGTACATTTTGTTGCAAAGTATATACTATAATCATGAAGTCAGTACGGCATAATTTAGTTCTTATTTCGGTTTCGTTATTGTTCTTATGTTGGTCTTTAGTACATTACATTTTTAAAGCGTTACTTATTCTTGTTATTAGATAGTACGGGATGGGACGCTACTATATGGTTGACGAGAGCACCACTCGGTGGACCTTCTGGTTTCGCCTCTGTCGGAGGTATTTGTACTCGCACTCGTTCCGCTGCCATTGACAGAGATGAGGGACTCACCAGCGCCTTTGTCATCGCGCACGAGCTCGGGCACCTGTGAGTACGGATTATATTATACAACAAAATTAAAATAAGTTTAATGTACTTATATAGTACATATTATATACATAAATTTGTATTGTATGAAGTTAATTTCGATATTTGCAATACTTTATTGTCACACGAAATACATCACGATAATAAAAAAAGACTGTTTAATGATCACTGACTATGCACTTTTTATTATTAACAATTTTGTTTTTAAGAGAGTATAACATTATATTTGAAGTATGAAGGAACAAAGTGGATTCAAAGATATAAAACATTTTTTGAGAATAAGGGTGGCAAACGAGCACATCGACCACAAATTACCTCTAATCTGTGACACAGACAAACTAATGCACCTACATCTAGCCTCGATTGAAAATCAAAATCTGTATGCATTGTCACCCCTAAAGATTAATTTAGAATGCCGTAAAAAAGGTCTCCTGTTTTTTACAATTACCATACGAAACACAGCAGCATTAAGTTGCTATTTTATGCCGGTACTCCGTGGAAGCACGCTTTTTCCCCGGTCTAGCCAACTCATTCGTGATGCTGTAATATAGCTACAGCGTTGCTCTACCTCGTTAACTGTATGTAATTACTTCTATCGCTTATTTAAATATTACATTTGATTTGATAATTGACTTTGTGCAATTTACGTTTGTAAACTGTCTACACGATACAGGAGAAAATGCAACTGTGTGGGTAACGTTTTTAAAAAAATAAAAATAAATGACGGTCAAAGATCAGCTAGTCTGCCACAAATATTACATCACCTTTGTTTGCGATTATGATGACATTTTCCTCGTCGATTTTACCTGTAACATACAAATTCAATCGACTATAATCTAAAGTCATTTTGTGCAGTAAGACCGAAAAGAGAATCGTATGCAATATTTATTAGGAAGTAGCAGCGTCAATTTTATTCAGATGTTAAACATATTTGTATTCGATTGCGAATGTTTATATTGCTATGCTCAGCAAGTGTATTTCGAAAAATATCTTATGTTAACTTGGTAGACTAATGTTTTGATTGCACTATTTAAAAAAAAAGTTATTACCAAAGTAGGATTTTCTTCTATATCATGGAACTCGTTTACATTTTGGTTTACACACACATATAAATTGCACTAGGATATATTTCCAAAACCCGGAATAATTATTTGTAGGCCATACAAACACTTGTGTTGTGTGGTAGTCGTTATGGTTATATTTAGTTCTGAAAAATTTTCAAGGTTCTTGTCTTTCTTTTGTTAATATACAAGTACAATAAAATAGGTACATTCACATGTCTTGTTTCCTTAATTTACGACGCTCTGTAACAATAGTTTTCCGGTTTTGTTGAACAAATAGCAATATGATGACTTCATTGTGTTAAAATATAAACGATGGTATAAGTAAATAACAGAAACCTCCACGAAATATTGATTTCTAAATTTAAACTCTTTGTTTTCATCACGAATGACGTATAAGTAACTAAAATAATTACAAAGTAATTATATAATTTTGATTGTAACAAAGAGCTTTAAGTGATTTTCTTAATTGATTTTACTAAGTCTGGAGTGACGCGTACAGGGCCCTTCTGACTTTTAATTAACAAACAAATTGCTGAGCTGTGAACTGATATTCTTTATACATTTTTTACACCTCCAAATTTTTAAAAGATTTGATTGTAATGCGGAATATACATATATAAAAAAATGTCACTGATAGCTAAATGTTGTATTGCTTTTTAATTGCAAGTAAATTATACATGACTCCGTCGAGTTTAGAGGAATGCTCTTCAATTATACAGGCTTACTCAATTGCTTTTTAATTTTAGGCCTGAGCTTCGTCACACTATTATTTAAGATGGTATGCTATTATTTACTAATTACAAAAGGACGATTTAACAAGGCTTAATGCACGTTGATACGAAAATTTGAAGAAAAATCGAAAATCCGACTCGTCAGCTCAATTTACTATTAACGAGAAATAAATTTCAAGCTTACGTCTATTTCTGTTCAGATGGATTCAAACTGAGTGATGTCGACATGCAAGGTTATTCATAATACACATTCGTATGTACAAATTCAGTGCAACCATGTTCTAGATATACGTAGCTAGATATACTAACGTCATTGCAACATCGAGTTACGTTCAACGATGTTTTATTAACTGCGATAGAACGCAATTCATTGATTTAGTGGAAATGTTTCCATCTTAATGATTACGATTTACAAACAGTATAATATTTAATATTCTATAAATTGCTTCTTCTGGCTACTACATTATAAACAAAATAAAATTTTTGGAGCATTTAAACCGCACATGTTTACTAATAGATTTCTAATTTATTTTAAATATTAACAATCACACTGTATGTGCGGCGTAATGTACCTTTGGTCTTTGGTCTCTACACTCACCATGTGAAACAGAATAGCACAATTATCGCAAAACCGTCAAAAAGTCACAATTTCAACGAGTATTACATGTCCTGTAAATGTATTTTCGCAGCGGTCATCTGTCATCAGTTTAAACAAGGGTCCTCGAGCACAAAACTGCGCTACCGTGTCGGTAGTAATTGGGCACTTTGTGTTACTTATATGTATTTAGTTCTATGATAGTAAAAATAAACATATTAAACTCAATTAAAATGGTTGCATTATACGAATAAATAATGCTTAGGTTAAAGGATCTTATTAATCAGATTCGTGTATGGCTCTACCACGAAGAAGAAATACGTGGTAGAGTCATGCTGCAGCTATATAAGTAGTATAGTTGTAGCACTAATGGGTCAGCTCAACCGGGGATGGACCAAGCTCTTACAGAATAGCAGCTCAACGCTGCTGTGTTTCCTTTGGTGGTAGAGAACCGGAGGCCCCTTTTACTGGAAACGAGGCATTACATCTTAGTCCTCACAGGTGGCAATGCATTTTGATTTGCTATCGAGGATAAATGTAGATGTCTATGGGCTACAGCGACCACCTACCATCAGGTAGACTGTGTGCTCGTTAGTCACCCCTATAATATAAAAAAACTATGTTATGAGCTATTTTGTGTTCTAATGGTTGTGCTTGTAAAGTTTTAATTTCAAATAAAAGTTTTATTTATTTTGTAATTACTATGGGCGTTCTATGAAAAGAGGTAAAGAATTTGTTACATTTAACTTTTATTAAATGTTATTTTAATTTCTGATATAGTTACCTTTTAGTGTAATACACTTGCAATGTATTATAAGCTCATATTTCCTTCCTAAAGAAGTAGTGTAAGGGGCTCCGCTAAGATCTTGGAGCCCAAGCCAACCCCGCCTGCACGTGGCGCACCTGCTGAACAACGTAAAGGGCTCTGGCGATGCCACACCTTCTGCGATTCGTCCTAGGGGTTTGGGGGTCAGACGGCAGTCGCCCCGGTAATTGGCACTAAGCCACTCAAAAATGGAAAGTAAAAGAAAGAGATATACGTTTAGGACTAGGGCGTCGCCGCATACCGAGCACATGGGGGTCGCCTTATCCCTGCGACAAGTATGCGAGGGCTACTGGGCCCCGTGCGAGCCCGGCTAAAAACGTTAGCACCATCTACGAAGATTCGCTTTGCAAACTGGAATAATGGCACGCTTACGTGACGCTCCACAGAACTTGCGGCCATACTTCCAAGGCGTAAAGTGGCAGTGGCGTTCCTGCAAGAGACACGGTGGAAGGCCAACAGGAGCCGGAATATTGGGCATGGCCACAAGCTGATCTATACAGGCTCTTCTGGTGGGGAGAACGGTGTGGCAGTGGTGCTCGCCGAGCATTTCCACGATAGCGTCTTGGAAGTTAGACGCATATGCGACCGACTTATGGTAGTAAGGTTGCTTGTTGAGGGGGTCGTGACCCACTTAATAAGTGCCTACGCCCCACAGGTCAGCTGCAGCGACGCGGATAAGACGCTGTTTTGGGATCGGCTCAGAGATGTACTACGCGGCATACCATAGTCCCACGGTGTCGTGTTGGGTGCCGACCTGAACGGTCATGTTGGCGAGGTGCAGGGGGAGTATGAAAGTGTCCACGGCGGCTATGGTTACGGCCGAAGAAACGCAGAGGGGGAAACCATTCTCAGAACCTGCACTGCAGCTGACCTGGCCGTCGTGAACACGTTCTTCAAAAAGAAAACCGAGCACATGATTACCTACAGGAGCGGTCGGAACGCCACTCAAATCGACTATCTACTGACCAGGAGAAGTCATATCAGTCGCTTGGCCAACTGTAAGGTCATACCCGGTGAGTGTCTCACTGCCCAACACCGACTTCTTGTCATGGACCTCTGCGTAAAACCCCGTCGCAGACACGCCGAACGTTGCCGCCGTCAAATCAAGTGGTGGCTGCTGGATCAAACCAGATACTCAGAGTTTGACTCTGCACAGCAGGCAAGTCCGTCCAAGAGTGCTGGAAAACCATTCAGACAGCAATCACAAAGACGGCAAAGCAAGTCCTCGGCGTGGCGAAAGGGGGTCGCAAAATTGATGAGGAGACCTGGTGGTGGGACGCCACAGTCCAGGGTTCATTAAGGGAGAAGAAAGCGCTCTTCAAGACGTGGCAAGCGACCAAATCTCCTGAAGATCGCGCATCTTACAAGACAGCGAAAAGAGCTGCCAAGAAAGCTGTAGCCAGAGCCAGGCGTGACCACTTGCAACCATTATATGCTAAGTTGGACACTCCTGAGGGGCACAAGCTCATATATAAACTGGCGCGCTCTAGGGCCAAAGCAGCGTAAGATATTACTCGCTGCTACAGCGTCAACGGCGCTAATGGCGAGCTCCTGTACGATGATCGTGCGGTGAAGGAGAGATGGCGCTCTTATTTCCACGTTTTGCTGAATACTCAGCACCGGGAAGTGCACCTTCCCGAACAACTCCCAACCATGGACTCGTGCCACCGATTACGCCTGACGAGGTCCTCGCATCTCCTAGTCACATGGAGAATCGGAAAGCTGTCGGACCGGACGAGGTGCCAATTGAAGCGTGGAAAGCGCTGGGGGCTCGTGGTGTGTGC